AATTAAATGATAGCTGTATACATTAATGCAAACATGGGGTACAGTGTAGTGTTTTCATATACAATTTGAAATGTTTTCATCAAACTGGTTAACATAGACTTTGTGTCATTTACTTAGTTATTGTGTTAAAACATTTATACTCTAGTTCTAGGAAAGTTCACTTGTACCCTTGTTAGACAGACCATGTAGGTGATCTTTCCAGTCACCCTCCCACCACCCATCCGCCCATCTAGCCCCTCCCCATATTCTTGGGCTAGAATTAGGTTGTAGCTTTCATTTGAGAACTATAAATTAGTTTCATAATAGGGCTGTAAAAACTTGAAATTGATGGCATTTGTCTGATCTATCCCAAGAGACAATAATCTAGGAAAGATGCCCTATGTACTGTACGGTTCCTGGTCCACTAACTTCTAATCCATTAATGTTTACTCATAAGGTGGGGGAGGTCTATGCATCTTAAAGGAGCCTCAGCAAATGTGAGGTTAGGTTAATTATCAGCAAATTCCTGGGTAAATTCCAGTCTTCTACACTGTTGGTTAAAACCGCATGTGCCCCAGATATGCGACCTCAGGTCAGCAGAATGACTGTGAAAATGGGAGGCCGAGTGTGTCTTCTTCCCCAAGCTCCCCTCTGGAAAAGGCTATTCCCCAGGGAATGTTTGCAAACTGGCCTGAAACTTTCTCTCAAGGAGTTTTGTATCTGCCTAAGCCAGAGTTCCCCAAACTTCTGTGTTCACCATACTGTTATCAGCTCAGTAAGATTTTCATGCATTTGTAGGCTGAAAGAAGGGCCTAACAGTTCTGGTCATTAAAAATTTTGGAATAAATGGCATACTAAGAACTAATGTCTTCACAACCTAATAGGCATCTGAAAAAATAGTTCACATAAATTGAAAGAAAAACATATTTTCATTTCATTCGTAAATAATCATATATTTGTTCCAAAGAGATCTTTCTTCGTACTGATTTTATATCACAGTAACTTCCCCAAACCCAGGTTTGCAAAGATAGGATATAGTGGAAAGGAAGCCAGCTCGAGCTACCAGAAGACGGAGTTAACTACCTGAGTTAGCAAATCACGTGCTGTTCACCAGGTGTTAAGTATCACTGTGTTGTCCTCAAATTTTTAAAATATCCCCCACACCCATGAGTGTGTTGCCTCACCCTAGGGCACCGTGGTGCACAGAGTGGGGACTGAAGGCCTGAGATTTTGTACAAACACCTGGTGGAGAGTGTTGCGCTCTGGATAATATAATTAAGTGATTTTTCAGCTGGTGTGCACATAGCACCACCAGTGCCGCGAGAAGATCTTAGGTAGGGGTCCTCAAACTTTTTAAACAGGGGGCCAGTTCACTGTCCCTCAGACCATTGGAGGTCCGGACTGTGGGCCCCGGGATGAGTCAGCTGCTAAGCAGGACAGGCAGTGGCAGCAAAAACACCCGGCGGGCCGGATACATGTCCCAGGCAGGCTGCATGTGTCCCACAGGCCATAGTTTGAGGACACCTGATTAGGTGTGCTGCGAAAATTTGTAAAAATCACTAAATAAATTATTTTCTAAAAAAAACTTCAAAGCACCGTAAGTATATTCTTTTTTCTTTTACTCTTTTTTGGGTTTTTTTTTTTTTTGATCAATATAAATGTGCCTCAGAAGTTTAACTATAGGGTCAAGTGTACTGTGAGATTAAAAAAAGGTTGAAAAATGCTGATGAACTTAAAACACCAAACATTTCAAGATCCAATCAGGCCTTCTAGATACTTCCTATTTTGTATGGAACACATTCGTGTTATTGATATATCTAAATTTGAATCATACTCTCAGAATAGCAGCAGAATAATGAGTGTGTTAGTGCGCGACCCCCAGTGGATCCCTGTAGCATGTGCTCACCTCTGCTACGGAGATGGAGAAGTGATGGATCTTTAATTTGTATATCCTGTTCCTCTTCTGATTTCCTTCTAGTCTGTTCTTTGTAGTACCAGTGTGGAAGGGAATTTAATGTCTTTGCATCTGGAAAGACCTATTTATTCCGACAAACTGATCAACCTCCAGGGTGTTCTATACCATGAACTGATTGTCCACCTCACCCACTAACTATGACCATGGGAACAGCCTTCCCTGTCACACCGAGAGATCAGACTTGCTTCTCTGGGAAGCGGCAGGAGCGATCCCATCGCCAGTTCTCTATCATGGGCCTCACCACCACGTTTTCTCAACAGAGCATAGAAGATCAGAGTGATGGGTCTGAGGCAAGCCCAAAGATTAGCAGACACTCAACAACAGCTTAGGAGGAAACCCAAGGATCCAACTCACAATCCACAGGATGTGTCTTTCCGTTCAGAGGGAGTGAAATGTCTTTTGTTTATTTATTTTTTATTGTTTCAGGTTAATTGAGGGTACAAAGAATTAGGTTACAATGTGTGCATTTGTAGGTAGAGTCCCTCTTATAATTGTGTGCCACCCCTAAGAGGTGTGCCAGACACCCTAACATTGTGCCCATTAAGTGGGAGCACCCGCATCCCCCACCTCCCCTCTCCCTGCTCCCTCACTCCCCCGTAGAGAGAATAAAATGTTAAAACTAAGACCTGGTGTGTTAGTGATTGTGTAAGGACATCCCGACACACACGCCCTCTTCCACCAAACTGAGCCTCTAAAGAAGGCTGGTATTCCACAAGATTCGAGTGAATTCTAAAATACTGTGAGAAGAAATTAGAATGTAATATGCTGAAAGTGATGGTTTGCAGACCAATTACGGCATCTCTGTAGAGGCCATTTCCTTACAAAACGATCCCCTTTTTTGTTTCTTATGTCCTGAGATGAAAATTTTTTCAGATGAGTTATTAAAACAAGAAGTTGGACAGGGCAGGACACACGTGGTGAGGACACCCCAACAGGGAAAAGGCCCTGGGGAGGCTGATGGTTCTGAGCCAAGGAGGACTGTGGTGTATTTTGGGTTATCTGAATTGGTTAGTTTTATATCCTGTTTATTTTTGTTTATCAGTTCAAAGCAATCTTGCCTTAAACAAAACTGGGCTAATTTCCTGGCTTCTGCTATAGAATGTTTACTTTAGAACTCTCAAGACTCTGAAAAGCTTCTCCATCTTCCAGACTCGAGGTCGTTATCATATCAGTTATTTATTGCTGCATGAAAACTACCCCAAAACTTGCGATTCAAAACAGCAACAATCCACTTATAATATGACCCAGTCACACAGCTGGAAAGTTGGCACTGGCTGTGTCCTAAAAGCTCAGCCAGGGTTGTTGTTGGGGCTGAGGCCTCAGCTCCTCTCCTGCAGGTCTCCTGGGCTTCCTCACCACATGGGGACTGGCCTTCAAGAACAAGCGTCCCAGTAGCAAGTGGAAGCTGCCGCTTCCTGCAGGCCTGGGCCTTCCACCATGTTCTAGAGGTCAAGTAGTCAGCACCTCTGGATTTGGGCGGGAGGGACATAAAGCCCTGTCACTTTATGGGCATCCTGTTACCGTGTATCTGTGCTCCAAGGCCACCAGCATCGCCCACACACCACACTTATAGGTGGCACTCCTTTCTATGCTGAAACACTTTGTCTGAATGTGGTTTCTGCTCTGGGAGGTGGGGCCCCCAATCAGTTAAAGAAATGTGCGTCAAAGAGAACCAGTGTTCTAGCAAAGAAACTCTTTCCCCAGCTGTGAAATGAAGTATGGAAAAAGTAGTGCCTGACGGGCTTCATCTCCTTGGAGCTTTGCGTCTTGCCTGCCTCCCACAATGGTCACATGAGATGGCTGTCGTCATTCTCCTGGATTTTCAGAGGGGGAAACCGAGGCTCAGAAACCAAGGTGGCTCTCACAAGGACTTTCAGGTGGCAGGCGATGGGATTGTGACTCTGAGCCAGTGCATTCTACCATGGTCCCATACCCTGAGCCAGTATTGCAACCTGGGGAGCTTGGCTGGTGACAATGAAAATGTAACAGGCTTTCTGGAGGAGTCCAGTGATCCCAGACAGACAGCCGTGAACAACCCTGGCTGCCATTCATTTTGTCAGCCTTTTTCTTTGTAGGATGGAAGGCAGAGGACAGTTGACAACTTGGGTGTCTTCAGTTCCCTGGTATATGAATGTGGAAAGGAGCTCCATCGCCCAGAGTGGAGACCCCCTGTGGCCATGTGCTAGTTTCCTGGGCTTGCCATAACAGAGGACCACAGCATGGGTGGCATAGACAGAAGTTCATTTTCCACAGTTTTGGAGGCCAGAAGTCCATGATCAAGGTGTAGGCAGGCTGTTTCTCCTGGGGTCTCTGTCCTTGGCTGGCAGGTGGTCACTTTCCTGCTGTGTACTCCCCCCATCTGTGTCCCCTTCTGATAACACCAGTCAGATTGGGTAAGGTGTGCCTCAAAGACCTCATTTTACCACCGGTCAGGTTGGGTGAGGCCTGCCTCAAAGACCTCATTTTACATTACTACTTTAAAGGCCCTGTCTCCAAACCCAGTCACATTCCGAAGTCCTGGGAATTAGGACTTCAACATAGGAAATGCAGGTGGGGAGGGGAATGATTCAGTCCATCGTAGCCCATTTCTTCTTTCTATGATGGGCTTTAAAGAAAAAAAAACCCTTTGATACAAAAATAAGTCCATTGACATGGAAACACAAATCTTCAATATATGTAAACAAATGTCTAATGTAAAATTCTCGAGTTGAGTAGTTTTCTCCTTTTCTGACCCAATCATACTCGTTACAGGTATTTATTTGCATTACTGTCTCTTCCACTAGACTAGGAACACCTTGAAGAAAGGAAACGTGACTCACCATTCATTTTGGCAACCCTGCTAGAGTGCTTGGAACATTCTTTAGTAAAGAGTGAACAATATCATTAAAACATAGCTCGATTTTTATTTGCAAAAGGTAATTTGACGTGGAAACCCTCACACAAGTCAGATGAGTGAATACAACGGGTTTGGCAAAGGAAGAGCAGGGTGGGCTGAGCGGCCGAGCAGTGTAAGGCCCCTGCTTCACAGACGTGTGTTCTCTTACAGTTCGTCTTCTGCCGGGAGTGTAAGGAGGCCGACCATGACGGGGAATGCAGCGCTCTGTTTGAGGCCTCAGGAACAGTCGCTCAGGTACAGAAAGACCTACTCATTCCTCAGGGTGGGGATCAGAGCACCAGAGCCCCGCCAGGGGACTAGTGCAGTTTCCTGGGGGTCACTGAGGGGCCACGGGAATGGGGCTCTGGCTTCTCTCAGAAAGGTAGGATGTCGGCTTCCCAGTGTTCAGTGAAGATGTCCAAACCTTCCATAATTTTTCCGATATGTTTCCCCCAGGCAAATATGGAATAGGGATGAGGCATATTAGCATGATCAGAGGAGGCTTCAGAGGGCAGATAAAACAATATAACAACCTTTAAAGGAGAGAAAGCAATGCTACTTTCCTTTTATTTTCTTTAATGCTTTTCTTTAGAATCTTTGGTGAAAACTGTCTCCATGAATGGCACATATGGAAGTGTTATATTATGCAAAGACATCATTGTTTTTAGCAAAATCACGCACTATGCTAAATTGTATTTCAGCCCTAAGTAAAGAACGTGTTTACGAAGCCTTACTCTCTAAGGTGTGATCTCAGGCTTAGGGAAACGCAAATACATTTTCTCTTATTTATTAATCTAAGGGAAAGAAGTAAAAACTTCAGCACTGATGATGAATTTCCTCATGATTTTTCTCTTGACGTAGATGTTAACAGGGTCTCCACACCACTCTATGCTGGTGGACCTTAGACCTCTTAGTCATTTTATTCATAGGAAACTAACAGATGGGGAAATCCAGGACATTTGAATTTTACGGTAGAGAATTTTAAAGATCTGACTGCTCTAACATCAGAGCGTGCAAAAGGGCAGCCCTACATGGTATTCTGGGGAAGTTTGTCCACTATTGGCATAACTAAGTAATAAACATAACTGGTGAATTCAGATCTTCTCATCAGCTCCCAAATTGTTAGTCATGAGTATATTGGGAGATTTAGGACAGAGTGGCCATTTCCACAGCAGAGGTAGCAAATGCTCTTTCTGCTAATTTCATTTTAGCTTAGGGACACTCAAATACAAGCTCAGGGATCCTGAGAGCAGGTGGAACAATGGCTCTGAGACCCCTTGCCTCAGGATCAGGTGGCAGGGGAGGCTAAGCCTGAGGCTCTGGGAACTGGAGATAGTCTAGCAACTTAGAGCAGAAGGCTCTGAGGACCAGACTGGACAAAGGCTTTCAAAAGGCCATAAGACGTCCTAGGGGGAGTTGGTAGGGGACGAAGGGAGCCTTTGACCCTGGTCACTCTGCATTCCACCAACTGTCATGCTAAAGAATGAGGTGGCCCTGATTTTTTTTAAAAAGTCACTAAACCTCATTCAACTCCAGAAAAATAAGGAAAAGAAAGTAAGTTAAAGATGACTTGAGGCACAGATGTCCAGGCGACCGCAAACACCATCAATCAGGAGACACTACCTGAGCTCCTGTGTGGGTGGAGCAGCTCCCAGGCCCACTGGAGAAATACACAATAAGCAGGGAAGCCATGGGGGAGATTTAAGGAAAATACATATGGTAATTACAGTAACATGCCGAACCAAAGTGCAGCCCACACATAACACACGTGATGCTTCCCCAGAGAGTCAGGGAAGGTGGGTCCGTGGGTGGCAGGGTGAGGGCACAGGCCCCTCCCCTCTGCCAGCCCCTGTTCCCCCCCGACTGCCTCCCCAGGCCCGAGACAGTGCCTGGTGCACACACACTCAGTGGCTATGTGCTGAGTGATGGTAGCTTCAGAAAGGAGAGACATGAGCTCATTCTTTCAACAAATGTGTGTTAAACATCTATGATGTGTTAGGCATTGTTCTAGGCCCTTGGGACAAGGAGCAAGGTAAGTCTCCACTCTCAATAAGTTTCTGTTACTTCATCAGACACCACAAAATTGCATGATGGATCTGATAGGAATCCTGGGTGGTGCAGTTAATACACCCAGGTCATTCCAGAGAGAACTCAGGCGCGGGGTAGTCTGTGGCACTGTCTCCTGGAAATGAGGCTTCTGTTCTGGCTCTGGGCACTGGCCCTGCCTCCTGGTCCTCTCACCCAAAAACAAAACACACCCACCAAGAAAATGGGGAGAGGGGAGTGAGGAGAGGCTGGTGGTCAACTGCTGCCATGAGACGGAACAGACGGCAATTCCCTGGATTCTTTGCTGGCTGTTTTTCCTAAGTCTCTGATTCAAGCAGTGTCCACAGCAAGGGGAGTCCATGTCAGGTGGCCACATGGAGAAATTGTAACAGAAGGGGTGACCCATGGAAGTAGGGTGGAGGCACAAGAACCCTCACAATGTGGAGGATATGTGGGAGCCTACCATTTGGGGAGCCATGACCACCCTGCCCCAGAGCAGGAGGAGGAAATGAATTGTGTGACCCCATGAGCTGGAACCATGGAGGAAGGGCTTTGGAACAGGTGCCAGGAGGCTGGCACTGCCAGCAAGGAAGGGAGCACTAGACATCCTGAAGGAAGGGCCCCAGCAGGAAGGGAGCACTAGACATCCTAAACTTTTCCCCCACCTCTGATGGCTGCCCCAAGGGAGCCTAGGGACACAGCCCCGGGAGTCAGCCTTTCCCAAGCGGGGCAGAGGAAGGAAAGGTATTCTGAGCAACCAGCACATGCTTTGTGGGCTAATTTACCCAGTTGCCAAAGTTTCCTTATTTCAGACACCCTTGAATATGGAAAAGGATGAACTGAACAAGCTGGTTCACCAAATTTCCAGACCCAATTCCACTTGGTAGGAGAATGAGGGTTTGTATTTTGATAGAGCTTAGTTTCTGTTTCCTACATTTCTCTCAAAGGGCGGTGATCTCTGGGGGGATGACCTCTGCGATTTCGATGACCTGAAATCTTTGAAAAGACAACACCACATACGTCTAACCATGAAAGTCCAGCTGCAGCTCCCATTGGGACTGAAGGCTTTAGGTGCATCCTCGAGTCTGAATTTTGCTAATACTAAAATACCCTCATCAGCCCCCTTCACATTTTCCTTTCAATTCAATGCAAGGGTTTTTGCTTGTAGCCATTGTAACCACTCTTCACTGCTCTTCCATTCAGGGCAGACTGGTTTCTGCTCTTTGATGTTACAGGCCCACCTCCCCCGGGGCCCAATCAGCTTCTCCTATCAGTTAGACCACTTGACCCAATACTTAATCCATTTGTTGATTAATGTAATTTTAAAAAGAAGCAAATGTGAAAATTGGTTTTAAATTAGTTTTAGAAGATTGAACAAACTTGAAGTTGAGACTGCTGGGGTTTGGGAAGCATGGTGAGGGAAGGTCAATCTATCACAGGCTGATAAGAGTCTGACCCCACTCACTTTCCCTAGTACTGGCCTGACTATTCTCCCTAAGCTCTGGTTCTTTCCCTGTCTTCCCCTAGAAGTTTTCTAGAAACAAAATACTTGCTCTTACAAACCACATAAAATGATTCCTTTTCCCAGTGCTCCTAAGTGGCTGATGTTACTCTCCCCCTGCAGCAGGGAGGCACACTGAGAGTGTCCATTTTGTTTCATCTTGTTTTAAGACAGATAGAGTCTCGCTCTATCACCCAGGCTGGAGTACAGTGGTGCCATCAGACCTTACTGCAGCCTTGAACTCCTAGGTTCAAGCCATCCTCCTGCCTCAGACTCCGGGGGGTACAGGCACCTGCCACAAGGCCCACCTGATTTTTCTACTTTTAGTAGAAACAGGATCTCACTATATTATCCAAGCTGGCCTCCAACTCCTGAGCTCAAGCAATCCTCCTATCTTGGCCTCCCAAAGTGCTAGGATAACAGGTGTGAGCCATAGCATCTGGCCAAGACTCCAGACTTTGTGGCAGTCAAATGCCACAAAGAAAGTCGATTTCCATAGCTGTACCTGATCTAAGGAGTTCAGGAACTTCGTCTGCTCTCTGTAATTAATAGATCCACAGTGTTTAAGGACTATGTACCATCCCTGCCTACCAAGCTCCCCCTCACCCTTGCTCTAAGCTTCCAGCCGACTGCCCCTGCTCCCACCACACATTCATCACTCCGAAGGGTCCTTTCTCTGTCTCTTCACTGAATCTGGGCTTTGTTATGCGGCCTTTGTGCCTGTTGCGTCTTACAGCGCCCAGTGCTGGGCACGTAGTAGACACTCTAAGTTTGTTGAATAAATGACAACTCCCTCCTGCACCTCCTCACCTCCCTCCTCTGCAGGAACAGGCTGCAGCTTTGGGGCTGGCTTCTGTCTCAGTAATCTTTTGAATCATTAGAGAAAATAAGATTCCCACAATTAACTTCAGTTCCCTCGGGCTGCCTCCTAAAATTAGAAAAATAGAGCCACCATCTTTCCTGGTATAAAAATAATAACGCATCCTTGTACAGTACTTGCTTACAAAGCACTTTCAAATACAGCGTCTTATTTTGAGCCTCACCTCAGCTTTTCATTACGGACTTTGCTCACAGGCAAGGTGCAGGGAGGCAGTTGATAGGCCCCCGATTGTCATTTCACCAGCCAGGGCTGATGGCCACTCTGGTCTCAGGGAGGCAGTGACACGGCATTTCCACCATTCTGACCAGTCACTCTGCCTTCCAAGAGAGGGAGAGCAGCGGGTTTACTGTTGGCTCTACCATGCCAGCGATGGCCAACTCAGACACACACCCTCTAATGAGTAAAATAGGGCTGATTAAACTCATAGGCCTCCCAACATTTTAGCAGAGATGAGGAGATTCACATCACTTTTCTTCAGCCTTTCCTATTAAAACAAACAGAACAATTACCAAAATGCATCAACCCGATAACCCACACGCAGAGTTGTGTGTAGCCCCAGGGTGGATTCTGTGGCTGCCTGGGGCGTACAGGGCTTGTGTAAGGGGGCAGCTGCCCCCCAGCTCCCAGGGTGGTTCACCAAGCAGAATGGGGCCCTCGGTACCAGACCTTCCAGTCTTACTGTTTTGATATTTTATAAACATATGTTTGTGTTAAATGTATTTACTTTTTAATGTTGAGAATTCACTTTTTTAAATTTTAAACACATCTATAGGTAGAATTTTGGCTGAACTCTTTGTGTTACACTTCCCAGATTATGTGTCTTTGAAC